CTTCTGGTATATCTCACACTTTGTTATCACAAAAATTGCCACCTCACTATAATCTAAATTTCCAGTACCCAAATCCCCCCCAGTACCTATTTTTATTAGAATCCTGTCTCCAAGGATATGGCCTTTGACAATATAAAATTCAATAATCCATTAACTCTACCACCTCATCTAAGCTCCTTGAATCCTTCTTTATCCAACCTGACTTCCATACTTCTGTGTTCAATTCCCCCACTGCCTCTCTATCTTTGTGTGGGGCTCGAACCTGGGGCCTTGCATATGATTCAGTCATGGAGGCAGTTGATTAATGCATTGATGAGTTCACAGCTGAATGCACTACTAGGAGGTCCAGCCTGATTGGAAGAAGTAAGTGACTGGAGGCATATCTAGGAAGTGTATGCCCTGTCCTCAAGCCCTTCCTCTCTCTGGACCTTTCCAACCATCTCTGCTTCCTGGATGTCTTAAGCTGAGCCCCTTTCTTCTGCCATGCCTTTCTACCATAAACTTTCTGCCTTGGAGCCGGACAATCATGGACTGAAACCTCTGAAACCATTAGCTAAAATAAACCTTTTCTCCCTTAAATTGTATGTCTCAGGCATTTTGCCCCAGAGACAGGAAAGTGACTAATACAGATAGTAAAATCTGCATATGTTCAATTCCCTTATGTGAAATGGTTTACTTGCATAGAACTTATGAACACCATCCTATATACTTTAAATCACTTCTAGATTACTTATAATACCTAATACGATGTAAATGGTGAGTATAAAGTTGTTATACTATGTTGTTTAGGGAATAATGACAAGGAAAAAGTCTTTACATGCCTAATACAGATGATTTCGTAAATATCTTCTATCCACAGTTTGTCCTATCTGTTGTCGCAGAACCATGAATAGGAGGGCTGACTGCATTTGTCAAATGAATGAATAAATATTTATAAGAAAGTCATTAAAAAATCAATCAATAGGTTCTAAAAATACTCTCTATGCTCCTTGCCTTGCTAATTTAAGGGCTTCACACTCAAAGTAGACATCCAACATATTGTCCAGACCACTAGTGAAATTTGACTCCTTCTTAATTGACTTGAACTCAGCTGTTAGCTATTTCTATAACCCTATCACTTCATACAGTCCCTGACTCAGAGTAGACACTCAGGCATGCTCTCCAAACACTCAGGTGTGTTCTCCAAAATGCTATATGTAAGAGAAGAAAGAATCCATGCAGAAGCAGCAAACTGTGCAGTTTGAGAGATTCATCAATCTGTATTAAATAAATGAATCTCTGCTGATATGCATCCTAAAGGACTAGAAAAAGAAACCCAACTCTCACTGGAGAAAGACCGCCATTAGAAATTAACACTTGCAGTTTAGAGTGCTTATTCCTGTGAATTTCCTGTTGGGATCAGTATCTAAAATCCCAGTTTGTTTCTCTACCTTTTTCTTTCAATCTATTTGGCACTTTTTTTCCAGTTGGCAGTACAAGTGTAACTTCCTGTATTTCAATGTCAATTGTTTTAGAGGATAAATGTTTACTTCATGGGAATGTCCCACAGGAGTCGCTAGAGTAAATTTTATTTCTGTTGTACAGATTGTATCACAAGTCAGACCATCTTTAGAAATTCTTCTCAAATGTGATGGAAACTCATCCAGGTATCTTTGTATGATGTAGTAACAAAGAGACAAAGAGAAACATCATTTTATTTATATAAAATGAAAAAATATATTATTCCTTTATATACTTTCTAGAAGAAAAAGGAAATAAGAGACTACCAGCCACCTTTCACAATGGGATAAATGTTGGCATGGAGGGTGAAAAGTAATCTCCTTTTTACCTTTTTACTTCTGTACTTTTCAAAAGTTTTAAACGCTGAGTCTGCGTTTTTATTTGTTAATGTTTAATTCTTGAAACACTTATTGGGCACCTAATGTGGACAAAGTACCTACCTGGCTCAACCAAAACATGTCTACCACTCAGCAAAAAATGCAATTTCATGTATTTCAACAATAGAAGTTGTTTCCTGTGCATGTATATTGAAATAGATGAGGGAGAAGGAAGAGATACCACAAAAAATTTCATTCCATGGAAATAAAGAACAAGGTCCTAATATGCAGTTCAACACAAGATCCAGCAAACAGTGGGTGTTAGGAAGCCTTTCTCTAGTGTTACTGAAGGTGAAACTCTAGCTTAATTTCTTTATCCATCCCTCACAGTGATGTTGGAGGTTGGGCTAACTTCTAATCTGCGCTGAACCACGTGCTGGCTACTTCTTTGGACCAGATCTAAATGGAATAAGAGGCCACCTGCTGCTCCAGAGAGGGAGCAAGCACGCTCGGTTCTTGTGCCATTTTGCCCTCTCTAGCTCTCCCCGAAGTTTTCACTTCCTGAGGCTTTCAGTGCACAGCTGAACCTGGCACTTTTCTCTGCCTAAACAGGTGTAGGGAGGTCAGATCCTCACTCCGTGGTGCCTTTTCCAGTGAAATCTATACACAGGTCTTCACATGAGCTCAACGTCTTCCCTTAATCTATGCAGTTGTTTCTGTTTCTCAGGGTGCATGTCCTTGCCATCTGGGCTCCTCTCCCACTAGGCTCCCAGCCTGAGATCCTCCTCAGTTTGGGACAAAAAGGTCTATTATTTTATATATTTTGAAAATAGCTTAAGTGGTAGGAATAAACCAATATTTGTCATTATAGAATCTCTGCTAATGTACTTTGTTTCTGCCTTAACATGTCCAACGACCTCATTCAAGCCACTGCACAATAATATTAATGGTCAACATCTACTGAGTCCTGGCCAAGTGCTTCATGTACTTTTACCCCTATTGTCAGGTGAGAAAATTAGTACATTGAGAGTTTGAGTCCATTGTCTAGGAGAGTCAGTGATTCACTGTAATGGGCAGAACTGGAATTCCAACCCCTGCAGGTAGACTTTATAGAGCCTGTCTTTTCATTTATTTTTTCCAATCCTGGAGATCAAAACCAGGGCCTTGAGCATGCTAGGTAAGCACTCCAGCCCTGGGCTGTATCTCCTGAGCCTGCCCTCTTAACCACTAATCCACCCTGCCTCTCTTCATTGCAAAATCTTATAGGGGTTTTCCTCTACGAGTGAAAATTAAGAAGTGGATTTTAATTTAAGTAAAGTTCACTATAAGTTTTCCAAAGACTCTGACTAGCTAATTTTTATTTGAGATTTGTTACCAGCAACATATGCTCTGATCTATATGTTATCAAGGAAATTTTAATAAGAAGAGGTCCAAATATCCTGCATAGGGGCATCATAGCTGAGCATTTACCAAAAAACTTATAAACAATGGCTAAGAAGTGTCATGGGAGTTAACTGAGGAGTAGGGATATAGGTCAGAGAACTACTAGCATCAGCATCTTTGCTGTTGATCAGAGCCATTTAATTCCCTGAGATGTCCACAAAACACTGATAAATGCTGATGACCTAGAAGGAGGTTGTCACTACACTGGCCAAGTTTCCAAGTTGGTAAAGGAAATAGAGAAGTAAGTGGATGGTTTTAATAAACCCTGGTAAGCACCTCAGGTTTCTACAAAGCTTTATGAGAATTCAGACTGTGAAATTCTGAGAAGGCCTCCTCATGGAAAAAAAAATGCAAATGCCTGAGCTGAATCCTGGATGGAAGTTTCCAAACTTTCAAGTACATGAGCAAACTCAATGAGTCACAGAACAGCAGCACGTGTGACTATGTACCTGTGTATGTGAAAACTTGAAGTGGACGGAAGGATAACATCTTAGAGGCTCTCATATGCTAAGCCTAAGATGCATCTCTACCTCATAAGTACTGGAAGCCATCACCACACATTCATATTACATTAAAGTTACTTCTGTTATATTCATAGGGATTTTACACATAGAACATCTAATTTTCTCACTAGTTCTTCCAATAGCATCTTAGCTACTTTCCTCATTGCTGAGGCACAATATCTAACACCTACAATTTAAAGGAAGAGAGGTTTATTTGGCTTACAGCTTCAGAAGTTGCAGTCCATGGTTGGGGGGCTCAAACACAGACAGGGAAGGGCACAGTGCAAGGGCATGGTGATGGAGGAAAGCTGCTCGTGTTGCGGCAGCCAGGAAGCAGAAAGCACAAGAGGAGCCTGGGAAGATAGATAACCCCTTTTAGGCTGTACCTCTAACAATATGCCTTCCCCAACCAGACCCCTCCTACTGTGAGCATGTTGGCTATATCGCCCTATGATTCATCGCTTTCCAAACCCCACCTCTGAGCTCATGACGTATTTGGGTGACCTTCTCCCTCTAAATCATAACAAGTACCTTTATCAGCTTTTCTTGCAAGGAAATGTGTTATTTTATTTTGAAGTACTTTCTTTTTCATTTCCGCTGTACATTGTATGTAAGGAATTATTTTTACATCAAGGTAGAACTATTTTTACTTCAGTGAGATGTGTACACAGGTTGTATCCAAGGTATAAGAGGACTAGGGACTGTGGGCTTGGACAATATTTCCCAGTCTTTCTGATTTTGAAAGACTCTTAAAATCCTCCTTAAGGATCCCTGCTGTCTTTTAAAGATTAGGGTAATATTTTGTAACCAAATATTGTTTAAGGATTTTCTGTCTTTCAGAAATTTATGGAAACTTGATATCCTTCCTCTGTCTTCACTCAGGTGCCTTCACTGGGGCACAAAGATCAAGCTTATCAGTAGTTTCCCCAAAAAGACAAACAAGCAGCAATTTTACTAAGTATTCAGAGATACCCTGGGGGATGCTTTCGCAGCACACAGGGCAGTCCAGTGTTGGGGGCTGGAGTGACCCAGGAGCAATGGGTTAGAAGAGGAAAAAGGCAAGAGTAGGAAAAAGGGTCATGAGAAAACAGGATGTTGAGTTAGAAATTCTCGGTCTTTTTTCTAAAGTGACATGAATAATAAATATCATACATGCAGCTATTTTTTTGTTGCTGTTGTTTTTTAGGTGTTCTGGCACCATCTATAGAAAAGGTAAAGGTAACCCCAGCATGCATGTGCTGCCTTAGTGATGTTAGCTCTTGTCGCTGTCCCCCAGGGTATGCTTGTCAAAGAGGTACCCTGCCGTGCGGGACTCGGGGGCTCGCGTCTTGCGCAGGTTGGTCACATGGTCACCCATCTGTTTGATGGCCTTCACCTGCTCAGCCAGGCAGTGAGTCTCGATGAAGTCACACAGGTGGGGGTCATTCTTATCAGTGGCCGGCTTGTGCAGCTCCAGGAGTGACTGATTCACGCTCTTCTCCAAGGGCAAGGCACACTCCATCGCGTTCAGCCTGTTCTGCCAGTTGTCACGGTCTGGTTTCTTGATTTCCTGAAGAAAGATCCGGCCACCGCGCTGCTTCTGCAGCTTCATCAGTTTCTCCTCCTGTTCCCTCTCCTCGTGAGATTCGTGAAGAAAGTAATTGGTGAAGTTCTTCAAAGCCACATCATCTCGGTCAAAGTAGTAAGACATGGACAGGGAGACGTAGGAGGTGTAGAGCTCCAGGTTGATCTGGCGGTTGGTGGCGGCCTTGGCGTCCTGGTGGTAGTTCTGGAGCACCTGCGAGGGCGAGGTGGTGGTCGTGGCGGCGGCGGGGAGGCTGGCAGCGGTGGAGGTGCAGGCGCGGGGAGGGCGGGCAAGTGCCGGGCTCAGTCCAAGCCCTGTTGAAGCAGGAGGACCTCGGCGACGCTTGGCGGAGGACATAGAGCTAGTTATCTTAATGACGAAATACTATTTTGAATGCCAGAAATGCTAAAAAAAATTCCCTACATGGAACAACATTTGTAGCACTTAAAAGCATTGAATTAGTGGCAAAGCGTGGAGAAAAATAGGTTTTTAAAGGATATATCTAAGTCAAACTGCAACTATATTGATAGGATAGTCAGTTTTAAAATGATCTATTGGGCTTACTATTTTAAGCAAAAAACCCAACCAGGATTTATAATTAAATAAATCCCCTACCAATAATTTTAGATGAGACTTTAAATACTTTCCAGGAATTAAGTCTTATCAAATCAAATCAAATCGAATCTCACTGTTTTCTCAAGATTATAAAAGACCATCCAAAACATCTTGCCAGCCTATGAGGCTAGTGCTTCCAAACTTTTACATGCAATATTAATAATCAAAGAAGTGAAATAAATACTAGGATACACAAACCACTCCTTGGAGAAGAGTGTCCAACAGACACTTGGTGTCTATTTCCACTTCATTTCTAATCTTTGGAAGGACTGGGGAAACAACCTGACACACGTATTATCACTGAGAATTCTTACTTACTTTTTTTTTGGTACTGGGAATCGAACTCAGGACCTTGTGCTTGCCAGGCAGGTGCTTGCGCCGCTGGGCTATATCCCCGGCCCCTTACTTACATTTATGTGACACTCTGAAGCAATGCTATGGACATGGTGTACAGCATGGACTTCATTTTGCAGATGAGGAAAACAAAATTTTTCCTGTAATGCTGTGAGCTGACACTCAATCCCAATCAAATCCAACTTTATTTCCATCAGGTCAACATAATAGCTCCAAACCAAAAATCAGAGGACAAGGTCTAGCAGGTGAAATCTCTTGTTCTTTGACCAGAGAAGTCTGATCTACTCTTTCAATATTACACATATGCCACAAGCATCTTGGTGGGCTATACCAAAAGATGAAAATCATAAACCCTAGCTTTGTATATTAAGGAGGGGAATACATTTACTCTTTACCTACTTACAATTTTGCATTTTAACTGACACTAAGTTTTTAAAAGCATCCTTGTTTCTTGGGATCTAACTTAATAATTCAGAAAGGAAAAGAACAAATTAAAACTATTGCACAATTTAAAAAATTATCCAAGGTGATAGATATGCAAATTACCCTGATGTGATCCTTATACATTGCATATATACATTGAAATGCCACATTCAACACCATAAATAAGTACGTTTATTGTGTCAATTAAAATATATTAATAAAAATAAAACCACTGTTTTCTAATAAATAAATAAAATTCTCCAACCTTGAGGGGAAACGTTCTCTTATATAGGAAAGTGATTAACAGTTTGGCTTCAGGAGCTAAAAAGCCTCAGCTGGAAATTAATCTCCATGGTAGACAACATCACTGTGTCTTGGCTGGAGCCTCATTCACTTTGTGCCTCAGTTTCCTCGTCCATAGAGGGAGGATGATGGTAGGACCTGTCTCACAGTGCTATTGAGAGAGTTCAATTAATTAATACAGAGTTTAGCACATGCTTATGATTATCCACTTCACAAATATTTATTGAGTGCTCACTCTGTGTGGGGTACTGCAGGTGCAAAAAAAAAAAAAAACAGACCCACACATTATAATGGAACTTACTTTCTGATTAAGAGAAGGCAGTCGGATAGGAAACTGGCACATCGTATCATTTGCTGACAGGCGATACGTAGTGTGTAGAGAAACAAGGGAAAAGATAGGGAACTGGAAATTCTAGAAAATGGGACAGTCAGGGAAGGGAGGGCCTCAGTTTTAAATAAGGTTGTCAAGCAAGGCATCACTGAGAGGAGGACATCTGAGCAAGACGTGAGGCAGTGAAGGCATAGAGCACATGGGTGTCTGAGGGAAGAGCAATCTAAGAAGAAATAGTGAAAAGGCCCCAAGGAGAGGAGAGAAAACACTTGGCAGGTTCAGCGCATCAAAAGGAGGAAAAAGAACAAGGCAGAGGAGGATGGTGATGTTGACAGAGGAAGTCATAGATGAGGTCAGAGTGGAATAGGTAGGGTAGAGAAGGTTGTGTGTGTGTGTGTGTGTGTGTGTGTGTGTGTGTAAAGCAGATTCCACAGCACTCTGGGTCACTGTAAAGCATGTTTGTCTTCTTCTCTGGGTGTGGAAAGTTTTGGATTAAGAATAAAATAATTAGACGTAATCACTAATAACATCCTTCTAGCTGTTGGATTGAGACTAGAGGTGGGTGGCAGGGAGAACTCTCAGAAGGCAATTGTGAGGCACTGGGGATATAGCTCAGTGGCACAGCGCCTGCCTGGCAAGCGCAAGGTCATGAGTTTGATTCCCGGTACCAGAAACAAAAAAAGAAAGAAAGAAAAAAGAAGGCAACCACAGTACTGCAGGTGGGAAATTGTAGTCCTTGGACCAGGACAGAGGTGATGAAGCTGGAGAGAAGTGGCTAGAGTCCAGACGTGATCTGAAGCTACAGCCAACAGGAAATGGGCAATAAAAGAAAGAGTCAAAGATAACTCAAATCTTCTGGCCTAATTAGAAGGTTTGAGTAGCCTTTGAGGTAGATGCATGAGTCTGTTTTCTCTTTCTAATAATATAGTACCACGTATGGCTAAGTTATAAAGAAAAGAGGTTTATTTTGACTCGTGGTTCTGAGAGTCTAAGTCAAAGAGCCGCATCTTGTGGACAAATGGTCTTCTTTGTAAAATTCTTTTTGTTTATCCCTACATTTTTATTTTTGTATTATTAGTCCATGTTTTCAATACATGGTGTTTACATTGTTTGTATGGATTTGCAGCATTGTACACAATATATGTTCATTCCCTTTTCATCCCCCATCCATCTCTTGATCCCTTTCCCACTTGAGAAAGATCTATCTCCCTACTTCCTATTATCTTTTATTTTTCTCTTTACTTATATTTTGGGTTTCTCATATAAGAGAAACTATGCAATGTTTAAGCTTATGGGTCCAATTTATTTTACTTAACATTACAGTCTCAAGGTGCATCCATTTTTCTACAATTGACCCAAGTTTATCTTTCTTTACAGCACAGTAGTACTCCATTGTGTATGAATAATACATTTTCTTTATCCATTCATCTGCTTATGGACATATAGGCCTCTTCCAAGATCTGGTTGTTATGAATTGTGCTGCTATAAACATGGGTATGCACATACCACTGTAATATGATGTCTTTAACTCTTTGGGGAAGATACCTAGAAGGAGAATAGCTGGGTCTATGGAATTTCTAGGGTTTTTGTTGCTGCTGCTACTGCTGCTGCTGCTGCTGTTGTTGTTTTGAGGACTCTCCATACTTATTTCCTTCTTGCTAGCAAAATCCTGTCATACCACATCACATTGCAGGAGCTAGGGAGCACGCATGTGTGGTGTGAGTCCTTTGGTCTCTCTCTCTCTTCTTAAAGCTTTCAGTACTCATTCATTAAGGCTCCACTTTGGTGGCCTGTCTAATCACCTCCCAAAGGCTCCAACTGTACATACTGTAGTTGGATTAATTTCCACTCTCTCGGGACCTCACCATAGAGATTAAACTCCAACTTGAATTTCAGATGGTATAAACCATACTCAAACCATAGCAGTAAATACTTCACAAAGACAGAAGAGAGGGGAATGATCAAGAAGTTGCTTTTGGAATGTTAAATTTGAAGTGCCAATTGCAAGAATATCTTTATCGACTAGGCATTTTATCCAAGAGTTTCTGTAGTTTGAGTAAGGGTCTAGGCTGGGGATATAAATTTGGAAAGACTAAGGGTATATAGATGACACAGAAAGCCATGAGACTGGGTGAGATCCCAGTGGGAATGGGTACTGGTACACTCCACAGTTAAGCATCTGGAAGAAGAATCAATAAAAAGGAGTAGTCAGTGAAATAGCAAGAAAAGTAGGATGTACTATTCTGTCACCTCTGAGTTCACTGCTAATTTTATTTTTATTATTATTATTTTTTGTGCCAGGAATCAAATCCAGGACCCTGCACTTGCCAGGCAGGTGCTTGTGCCACTGAGCTATATCCCCACCCCCTCCTTGCTAATTTTAATATTAGACTTCCATAGTTCTAAATCCAGCCACCTTCCACTATCCATGGGGAATATATCCTAAGACCTCCACTGGATGCCTGAAATCACTCTCAGTACCTGGCTTGCTCACTTTCTCACCACTGGGATACAGTCCCTGGCACCCATGACTCAAAGGAGGAGAGGCTTACCTTGGCTCGTGTTTCAGTCCATAGTTATCTGGCTCCAAGTCAGGAAAGCATGGCACAGGGGTATGGCAGAGAACAGCTGCTCAGGCATAGGGGGCAGGAAGCAGAGAGAGCCCAGGCAGGAGCTGGGAATGGAGATTTAACCTTCCATGTTCCTCCCACAATGACCCACCTCTTTTGACCATGCCCTACCTCCTAGTAACAGGTCAGCTATATGCCCCCATCATCCAATCACCTTTCCAAAGGCCCCACCTATGAGCACATAAGGCTCTGAGGACATCTGGATATAAACCATAACACCACCATATCCTTCATATACTGGTTTTTTTTTTACACTTATATAACCATGATAAAGTTTAATTTTTAAGTTAGATACAGTAAGAGACTAACAATAACTTGCCATAGATCTTAACAACATCAGCATATATTTCTTTTCTTATTAAATCAAAAACTTTTACCTTTCCACTTAAAGGAAATGCTTTATGGCTTCTCTTTGGCATAACCAAATTGTCAGCATTACTCCTCTTGGGCTGTGAGACCATTTTTAAGTAAAAATAAAGGTCACTTGAACACAAGCACTGCTAGAGGGTGACAACCAACCTGCAAACTGGGAGTGCCACTAACAGGTGGATAGTGTACACAAGTGGGTGCTTGGGACAAAAGAATGAGTCACATATCCTGAAAGGGACAGAGCAGGAAGGTGCAAGACTTCATTACACTACTTAGAGAGGCACGCCACTTAAAAATTATCTATTGTTCTTCTCTGGAATTTTCACATTGTA